GTAGCTTCTGATGAGACTGTCTCAAATTATTTTTGAGTGATCACTGATAAGTAAAAATCCTTCCACTTGTATGTTTCCTTTTATTTGAAGGACAGCAGAATACACTGTTAATAGCTACACTGGAAATACTTTTAAATAGGATCTTTTAGTTAACTTCTGAAGTTACAAGACAAAAAGAAAAAAAAAGGTTTAAATGTGCTGACTCAGCTTCAGATAAGAAAAATGTGACTATCAGTTGTTGGGTCATTTTACCTCTGCCTTAAAATAGGGGAAATCAAGCAAAGAGAGTGGCAGCAACAGCTGGAACCACATGCCTGTGTCCAAACACAATTTATTCATAAAACTTGAGGAAAGCACAGCACAGCTGCAGAGCAATTACGAAAAAAAAAGAAAAAAATCCACAAGCCCTTCAGAACTGATGAATAACGATGCCACCAAGGAAATCAGATCTGTCGGTGGAGTTAGAAACACTCAAGCTTAACAAGTGCTTTTTTTAGAGAATGAATCTTCACATTATAAACGTTAGTTGCTATGGATGCTGGTTTTTACTTCTGATATTTCTTCCTTCCTGATTGCTGGAATACTTCCTTCTAAAAAAAACCTCCACAATTTAAAATCTGTTTAAATTCTGTTAATCCATAACATGCTTTCTTTAAAATGTGAACACTGGAAAGCTGGCTGACGCTTCTAAAGAAGTATGGTGGGTGAGTGAGTATACCCATGTCCAAAGCAGCCTAACTCACAAATATATTGCACTTTTTCAAATTCAGAAGCTGCTACCTACTCTCCATTTTCTTCAGTCTGAATACTGCCAGAATTGCAGTATCTGTCGCTCTTCATCTTTATGACATATAAATTCAGCAGAAATGCTCCTCTGCACCTTTTTCAGACAGTGAGCTGAAGCACAGAGAAACTATCTATGATCCAAGAAAAGACTCTTAATTCAGGTTGCTTGAATCAGCCACATCAGTCAAAACTAGTGAAAAAGTAGTAACCAGGCAGTAGCTTGGTTAGGAGCTGAAGTTTCAAGTGTGAACTATCACTGTTGTTACTTTAATTCCTATTAGGCAAGCTAAGAACAGGCTCTTCCTTCCTCTTGTCCCTCAACACAGACTTATCTCTGATAACCTGTGAAGACCTACTTGTCTGAAGCCACACAAGAAGATGAGGTTGCACCATCTAGAGCGACCCAGGCTGGCATTTTGTTAGTCAAGACAGCCTTCCACAGGGCCAGTTTAGTTCCCATTTTAATGCACAAGCTTTTGAACTATTTCTGGCCACTGCAGAGCATCTGCAATTAGGGCAAACTGCTTCAAGCTCTATTTCCAATACCCACTGGTGAAGAACAAGGAAAGGCTTCTCCTGGGATTTACACTTGGAAACATTTTATGGCTGTTGGGAGACGAAGAAGGTCCTTACGGCAATATGCTAGTCCATCAGGCAAAGGGACTGAACTTCCAGTCTGAGGAAGAGGTAAATGCACCTGCATTCAGCTTGGCCGCTGGCAGTCAAGTCAATTTACTCAGAGTCAGATGTGTGCAGGAGACAAAACTGATGTTAACTACTGTGTAGGTATGCAGAAGTATATCAATGAAAATTAACCTTTTGAAATTAGCAGTCGGTTATGCTGTAGCAAATGTTAAATTTTGTTATTGCAGTAAATTTCTGTTCTTAGGAAAAAAGTGTGTAAAACATTTAGTAGTTGCGATCAACACAATAACTTTCTATAAAAGTGCATTTGTAATGTATAAACGCAATAATTAAGTACTATAAATACCTACATATCATCTCATCATGCATTTCATACTGTATAAATAAACATTTGCTAGTTACCATAGAAATAAGGTAGCAGTAGACACTACTGGAGTCCAGTGGTTATGGTTCTGTTAGACTTCATTATTAAATCTTTTAAAACAAAAAAAAGTGGTTCTAAAAGAAGCACTGATAACACCAATTAACATGCATAAAAACCTCCTTATTCTTAAGCGTTTCAGGAATCATTTACATAGCAAAAAAAAAAAAATTTTATTCATGAATAAGACTTAAGGAGGACCTTCAGAACAAAGTTCTACTTGGTTCGCCATATATCAAATCGTTAAATCGATAAAATAAATAATATGGACAGAATAATTTACCTTTTCACCTTCTTCACCTTTACTACCCACAAAGCCACGTTCACCCTGGAACACAAATAAAATAAAATAAAAATCTCAAACAAACATTCTTCTAATAATTGCATTCTTTAAAATAGTTTTATTGCACTGAATTTTTATTATGGGATTAAAATAGAAGAAATCATTTGGATACTGATTCTCTCATTCAAAAAGGTATGAAACCTCTACAAAAAAATGACACGGCTTTCCAGAGTTTTGTCAATTAACAATAGTCAATAATTTTTCCATTCAGCCTGAAGGATCTTCTTGGCTTTAAAAATTCTGAACTATTCATTGATGCTAAACCCACTCATTACAGTCCTGCTATTCTTCTGCAGAACCAGTTTTAACACATTTATTCATATTAATACTTTCACTTTAATTTTTAAATATGACTAGTCAGCTGTGAAGGCCTCCAAAACCCAGAACAATTGAGAAAAATATAAAGATACAATTTACTGAAAGAAAACTCATTCCTTTGAAAACCACATCCAATTACCCAAGTATTAGGAAAAAAAACAGGAGTTTTGAAATATTAATTCAAGCTCATCTTATTTCAGCAGACTGAATTCTGTATCTGATGATCTTTCAATAAAAAGACCTGAAATAATGCTCTTCCAGCTCCAACTTGATAACTTTTAGCTCAGAAAAAGATCTTAATGTACAATCTACTATGTTAATATCTTTGTCAAATAGTCTGCAGCCTGGCTATATTATAACAAGAATAACACCTGTTTTAGATCCTTACTAACGTATACTTCCATGTTTTCTGAGACATATAGCAGACATACAGCCAAAATTCTATACTTACAGCACAGAAACTACCTAATAAAAGAAACCCAAACATTCTCTTTCTCCCTCAAATCATCTAGGAGGAAATGGTTTGCATGTCTTTGCCAGTCTCTAGAATTCAGTCTCACCACCTCAGTACAATGTACATTATTTTCACAGGTCTGAAGATGAAGAGACAGGAAAATTTCTGAAGTAAAGCATATGGTATTTTCTAAATTACTTTCAAAAAATTAGAATGAGCAATGTCTGAACATTCTTTCACCCTTCAGAGAGAGTCATTTCCTTATATAGAAGTCTAAGGTTTAAGTGAGGTTAACTAGAACAGCAGGCTACAACTTGCAAAATTTCTAGCAGCATTTTGTCAAATCTTTCAACTGATATAGCATCATGTACTACACATCTGGGAATTAAATTCAAAGCTTTGGAGATGTGCAGGTGTATAGATTATCAAATAGTTCCGGACTTTTCATCAACCACCTACAGCGGCTGCTTTTTGTTTGCTTTCTTTTGGCTGGGGTGGCTCACGCAACCAACAGCTTAGAGGTCAATTTTAGAAGCACGCCCAAGACCAAGCATGCAAAATGGGATCTAGTGAAATAACCGTCCATATGTCCTCACCTAAAAATGAGTGGTTAATTACTGAAATTATTTCTGAATGTATGCAACTTCTGTTCTGTTCATCTAGTTTCCCTTTCTCATGAAAGGTTGGACCAGAAGATCTTTCGAGGTCCCTTCCAACCCGGGTTGTTCTATGATTCTATGATTCCCATTCTTCTCCAGCTATTGGACATACAACACAGCTAAGCTTATTCACTTTTGACAGATTCCTAGAAACAAAGTGTTTTCTTCATTTAGCTTTCCCATTTGTGAGACTACGTATCCTGTCTTTACTCAATTCCCAATTCATTATATAAAAATTATTCTTAGACAGAGTCAAAATTTCCCTGGTTGTAGTTTGTGTCCATTGCCTCTTGTCCTTTCACCTCCGACAAGAGTCTGGCTCTGGCTTCTCAGCACCCTCCCAGTACTTACAGAAAGCAATGAGTCTGCACATCACCCTCCCCCTTTCCAAATCATCTCATCTTAAGGCTGAACAAGCCCAGCTCCCTCAGCGTCCCCTCATACATCATGGGCTCCAAGCCTTTGGCCATCTTGGTGCACCTCCACTGGGCTCGCCCCAGTGAGCTGCTCTCTCTCCTCTCCTGGGAAGCCCCAAACTGGACACAGAACTCCAGATGTAGTCTCACAAGTGCCAAATAATCAATCCTCCTGACCTGCTGGCCATGCTCTTGCTAAGGCAACCCAAGATGCAGTTGGCCTTCTCCACCACAAGGGCACCCACCACGACCCCCAAACTCCTTTTCTGTAGAGCTGCTTTCTAGCAACTTGGCACTTTGCCTGTACTGTTGCATGAGGCTATTCCTTCTCAGAGGCAGGACCTCATGTTTGCCTTTGCTTAACTTCTTGAGTTCTGCATTAGCCCTTTTCTCCAGCATGTTGAGGTCCCACTGAATAATATCCTTGCCCTACCTTCCAGAGCACACTGACTACTTCCCCACATTTGATAACATCCATGAACTTGCTGAGAATCCTATCATCCAGGTTATTAATAAAGACACCAAACAATACTGGCCCCAGTATCACCTCGTGGGGGATGACACAAGTTACTGGGCAGCAGTTGGACCGCACAGTAGTTATTCCACCTTTGAGCCCAACAATCCAACCAATGTTCCACCCATCTTATTGTCCATTTATCCAGTCCATATCTCACAGATTTGACAATAATATGACTGAAGACTGTGCCAAAAGCCCGGCTGAAGTCAAGGTATGCAACATCCACTGCTCTCCCCTAATCCACACAGACAATCATCTTGTCAGAGTAGGCAATCAGGTTGGTCAGGCATGATTTGTCCTTGGTGAATCCATCCTAGCTGTTCCCAGTCACCTTCTAGTCCTTCATGTGTTTAGAAATGCCTTCCACAATTTGCTATATAATTTTTTCAGGGACAGAGGTGAGGCTAACTGGCCTACAGTTCCCTGGAACTTTCTTGAAGATGAATGTGATATTTGCCTGTTTCCAATCATCAGAAACCTCCCCTAGTCATCATGATCTTTTGCTAATGACAGAGGGCAGGCTTGCAGTGACATCAGCGGGCTCTCTCAGCACCCCTGGATGCATACTGTTTGGTATCTTGTAAATGTCCAATTAGCTGAAGTGCTCCTTAACACTCTCTTCCCCTTCAGTGGGTAATGGCTCATTCTCACACACTATGCTAGGAGGCTCAAGTACCTGGGAGGCCTAAGGGCAAACTTCATTAGTGAAAACCAAGGCAAAAAAAGCATTGGGTACTCTCGGCCTTTTCCATGTCCCCCACCCCATTAAGCAGTGGGTCAACATTTTCTTCAGCCTTGTTTTTTTGCTACAGATGCACTTAACAGAAGCCCTTCATGGTGCCCTTCAAATCCCCCATTAGTTTCAATTCGAGATGAGTTTTTGGTTTCCTAACTCCATTGCCATATGCTCTGGCAATGTTTCTATATTCCTATTGGGTAGCTCACCCCTGCTTCCACTGTTTACTTGCTTTTTGTGTCTGAGCTCAGTCGGGAGCTCCCTCTTCATCCATGCTGGCCTTCTGCCATGCTTGCTCAACCTGCTGCACATCAGAACAGACTGTTCTTGGGCTTTTAGGAAGCTGTCTTTGAAGATCAACCAGCTGGGCTCCTTAGGCCTGCAGGACAGTCTCGATGGCTCCTTGGCCTCCTCTTTGCCAGACTCAACAAACTTAGCTCCTTGAAACTCCCCTCAAAGGTCATGTTTTCTAGGTCCCTGAACAAACAGTAGCTCCCTGCTGGACCCTTCTCTGGTTTCTCCACATCTCTTGAAGAAGTGAGGGTGGAAGACCACCCAAACATGACACAGCATACCAGATGCAGCACCACCAAGCAAACGGGGAAAAATACCTTCCCCTGATCTGCCAGCTGCAGTTTTACTAATATAGTCCAATACGTGGTTCACTTTATTCCCAACAGGAGAACGCTGTTAGCTTAAACCCAGCCTCATGTCCACCCTGTGGGTCCTTTTCAGCAATGTTGCTGCTCAACCAGTCAGTTCTCTGCCTGTACCAATGTATGGGGTAATTAACTAATTCCTTCTTTTTCAGAAATACAGTTTAAGTGTCCAGATTTTTTGCACATATTTGAATTTAAAAAAAATATTTCCAATTATTGAAAATAAGAAATACAGTCAACAGAAAGTGTAGAGAAAGAAATTTAGGTAATTTCCACTTCACAGCATTAAAAATATAACAATATTAGCCACTGGTAAGTTACTTCAAAGAATTCTCGTGTTGCAGAAATAAAAACGTGAAAGTCACAAAATAACACATTTATGACTGACAAATTCTCCTTTCTGTGGCAGAATTCTCATATTAAGCTAGGCAAAACATTTCACACAAGATTTTTCATGGACAATCACTGATTACTCGTGTTGATACTCACTGCAGGACCGCTGATCTGATTTTCAGTGTTTTAAATATGCTTGCAGTACAAGTCAATGAGATCCTGGCTTTGAACGTATAAATTGATAGACTGTGGTAAGCATATTGCGGAACTCAATGTGGCTACCTCAGCTGCAGAAAGTAAGTTCCTTTCTTCCCTTTGTGCTATATTACAGGAAGTATCTGCCCTAAAGATACACAAATCAGCCCTTTGCATCAAGGTCACGCTGCAGAATGCTTTCTTGAAATTTTAATATGAACAAAATAATGTTTTTTTTTTCTGTAGTCCCTTAATTTGTGGAAGCAGCAGAGCTATTTCCCCTACAATTTTCTAAAAGGAATTAGCTGGACAGACGCATGTAACATTAAGATTTCATTCCAAATACTTATGGTTAAACACAGCTGCAATCAACAGAAAACAAAATCTGACCATGAAAAGTCTTTAACAAACATTACCAGCAAGGTCTATAATACAGATGTCCCTTTTTGCAAGTTCTGGCCTTCCTACAACATTCCACCTCTGGAAAGGAGCAAAAGATTAAAATGGAAGAGTGGAAGAAGCAGTGCCATCCCTCATCTCATTTTGCTGAGATCACGACACTCTCAAATTTCAAATTTTTGAATCTGCTATCTTGTGGCTGGAAAAACCTGCACAGTTCTGAGACTTTGGCGACCGCTCTCAATGCAAAATAATACTGCTAAGCAGGTTTGTGCCCCTGCACCTCACACACTTTCTCTTTTGAAAGAGAAGCTGATCGCAAAGTTTCTCTGTCACATCACACAACTCAGAAATTGGATATGTAATTCAAATCCGATTTACGTAGATACTGGACAGCTGGCAAAAAGAATATTGAGAGTAAAAATACATAAAATGAGACTGCTTTATTCTTTTATTTCTATTGTTTTACCTTGGAACCAGTAAGACCAGGTATGCCAGGAGCACCTACTAAGCCAGCTTCCCCCTGAAACAAAATGTACATAGCCATCATTTTACAGACCTAACTCATGATGGAGCTAAATTAAGAGAAAAAAAAAATCTGGACATGTATTGCTTCTCATTCTTTTTCTACAGAACAGCTGAATTGATTTCTAGGGTTGTTTAAGTCTGCTGAGTTATATTGGGTTAAATACATTTAACTTTCAAAATATTAGGCAAGTAACAATTACAGGTTATCTAATCACGCAGGAGATATAGCTGTAGATTGCTTCAGACAACTGAGCGACAAAAAAGATTAGAGAGTTTGGATCATGTGAAAATCTTTCTGAAGTTTTATTTCAGGCCCTGATTCAGAAAAAAATACTTCAGAAGACACTTGCATACTACCCAAGTACCTAAAACCCCAGCAAGAGTGCCACAGCTTCCACTCTCTCCCTCATACCTATTAGGTGCTTGAGCCCACAGGGATCTACGCTTAAAGTGTTAGGTCCCACAGGGAGCTGTACATACGAAGCAGACTGCTGGTTTCCAGGCTCTGCTCAGTCAAAAGGGAGTTTCAGATCTTTTCCCCATCTCTAGGGGAGTGCCCAACCTACTTAGCAGGAGGAAATGCAAATCTTGATCCTGTGCAACCAGGCAGACAAAAATCTGTTTCTCCTACTTCGTAAGTGAATGTTCTGTACGTGTTATTGAATTACTGCCTCCTCTACCCCGTGTTTTAAAAGAGCAAAATAAATCAGCTGTACATTTGACTTAGTCACCCCCTGCCCCCCCCCAATTACTTTCTCCTTGAAAATTAAGAATCTGCTCTGGGTTTGTAAATTTTGTTCCAGAAACCGGATGCTTAAAAGTTATGCTCAGCGACTGAGCGTAAGTATAAACAAGCACAATGTTCATAAAAAATGTTTTTAAAAGGTAACTATCCAAGCTGAGTAACATGGTAAACTTAATCTTCAATATCTGAATAAGCACTAGTTGAGCAAAAGAAAAAAAATAAATCAATAGCTCTGAGTTGAAAGCCACAGACGTTTCAATTCTGCATTTAATATCAGGCTTTCCAAGGAAGAGGTATAGTTAAAAACCTAGTAATATCTCATTTAGAATCAAAATATAAAATATTGCAGCCATTTCCTTTTCCATTCCTTCTTCGCAAAGCTTGTTAAACAATTACAGACCTAGAGAGAACCAGGCTCTGCCACTCAAAGCTAAAAACCACCCTCCATTTACAGATTCATGAAATATGCCACTGTGAAGTACATTAATTTTGGTCTCAATAAATCTAAGGTTCCTAAACTAAGTTCTGTGAGAAGAATTCATCCATGCTCATGAGACTTCAAGTGGGAGCTCAGAAGACTTATTAAAGGAATCTAAACTCAAATGCTTTATCCATTCCATTCATGGGTCTTAATTCCTTGACAGAAGTTTGCCCTAGTAACTCGCATGCCATCCAATTCAGTTTTCTAGCCAAGCCAGAATTCAGCAACAAAAGTTCTGAAAGTTCACTTGTTTGATTCCAAGCCAAGCAGAAGACAAATACCTCACAGACGCAAAAAAAGAACAGAGACAAAGGAAAAACTCCAATCTCTCTTAACAACAGAAAGAGACAATAAAAGAACAATTACTCATCAAAATGATACAAGTAATTAAGCAAATAAATACAAAGCACTCATGATATACAACAATTAAAATTCAGCTTAAAATAACTTGTTAAAATGGCATTTTTCTAACTCCACTCATAGCAGTTTTCAGTATCTTCCTTCCAGCTCCCCTCTGTAAAAATAGATGCTAGTGTGCTGGAGAAAAATTCTAATTAATCATTACAAGTAATCCTTAGTTGTTCGTTTTCTCCAGATTTACAACATGTAGTCAGAAAAATTCTTCATAGTCTAATAGTTACCAGTTAATAAAATTTCATCTTCTCTGCTATATTGGATCACTGTAAACTAGAAAAAAAAAAAAGCTACATTCATTGTTTTTTTGTGGATACAAGCCAGAGATGTTTTCCCTTACACTGTTTTATCAGTGTTCTACAAATGATTATCCCTTCAACACAACAATGCAAAAATAACCTCCTACATCAATACTGATTCCTATTAAATCAAAAGTGATTAATGTTGTTGTTGCTTTAACTATTTTGGAAATGTGCAGTGTATTTATAATCAGGGTTCTTAATGTATTTATCGTTTATTGATTTTGCAGTTTGTAATTGCACTGCAACACCCCATAAAATTAGGGATTCAGTTTATACCTAAAGGTTTTCAAGATAAAGTAAGATGCTTGATATGTGTGTACCTCACAACTTTCTTAGAATGCATTTACATTAATTTGTATACCTCGACTTCCACATTTAGCTATTTTTCTCCCTAAATAAGAGATTTTCACATTAAAAAAGATTTAAAAAAAGAGAGACTATCTTAACATATAAGTATGTGAACTTTATTTAGTGCATTGATTACTTGTACTACCAAACAATACGGTGCCAAAAATGAATTAGGTATCACATTAACTAATCATAAAAAAGAGTTAAGAGAAACTTGTATCAATCACTTGGAATGCGTTTTGCTATTTAGAACATTTTATAACGGCAAACATGCTGGAACTTCATGAGATTCTCCTCAAGGCTGGGAAAGAGAAACAATTGCTGTGAAATATTTTAAACATTTTGCAGATATGATTCTGCAAAATTAAATAAAACCCAAACCACCAAGAAGGAGTCAGATGCTTCTCCATCCTCAATATGAAGAACAAACATTCTTCCTTTTATTTTTAAATTCACTGGGGCACTGACAGGAGCCTCATTTACAGAATAGGCTTGGTACTCCAGGGTTACTAGCAAGGAAACTCATCTTAATAGAAGTAAAATCAGCGCAGTCAAACACTACTTACTGTTTTGTTAATTTATGGATATGTGCCTTCCATTACCCTGAGTATGCCAGACCCTTAGAATAATCTAATAGCCCGGTGTTTTAAAATGAGGACAGCTATTTTTAGCATTGCAGAAATGGAGCGGAATGTTCAACAACGTACTGTCAGAGGGCTTGGCTGCATCCTCCCTGTGGAGCACGTACCGAGCCAGTCCAGAGCCACCAGCGGGGGCAGAGGCTCTGCTTTAACAAATAAAAATCCCACACCAATTATACTCCATTATATGACACCTTCCTTAGCCTACTGGCATATTTCCTTGTTTCTTTAAACAGGCTCTTGTTAATGGTTAGGATCACCTGATAGAATATTAATTACATAAAAATGCATTCAGCTGATATTTACTAAGGCTCACTCTGTGAATCTCCTGGATTAGTCATGTCAGGAAAATTCTGCTAAATATTATGACATTTTGGTTTCACTGCACCTACTGATCCTTTTGTTCCCACTCGGTTACTGCTGAACTACCAGTACTCAGCACTTGCTGGGCCTCAAAGGCCCAAATCAGTGCTACCCTTGATGCGAACTTGACCCATGTGAGCAAACATAAGATCCTCCCTTAAAATAACCTAATGGAGAAAGGGCTTGGGACAGGTAAACAATTTGTTTCCTTTGCTCTGTCCTGCCTCCACAGCAGCCCCAGCAGAGCAGGTATGCCATGGTTCGACCAAGGGGGTGAGGGCTGGTCGGAGGACTCCTGTGTCCTTGTGTCCTAGCGATCAAGGCTCCTGTTGCTTTTTTATGTAGCTGTTCAAGAGAAGGACAAATGGGAACAGCCCTACTAGAATGACATAATCTGAGCTTAGAAGGCATTAGTTTTTCCTCATTCCTAACCCTTCATGATACACATCTTTGGGATAAGTCTGACTTACGTATACATTCAGGCACCTGGAAAGTAATACTCTCCAGATTAGATGATGTGTGAAAATTTAGGTTTCAGTGCTTTGCATATGAACTAAGGAATCAGCAGCCAGAGGCAGCTCAGAGCTTCAGAGAACATGGTCACAGGGCTCCTTACTCCAGACTGCACTCTCTTTAGTTGGCATTGTTTCCTTTTTCGCTATTAGAAAATGTGCTGGCGTTGGCTGGGGTAGAGTTAATTTTCTCCATAGTAGCTAGTATGGGGCTATGTTTTAGAACATGTTGTGCTGGAAACAGGATAACACAGGGATGTTTTCGTTCAGCAGTGTTCACACAGAGTCAAGGCCTCTTCTGCTTCCCACACGACCCCACCAGCGAGTAGGCTGGGGGTGCACAAGAAGTTGGGAGGGGACACAGCTGGGACAGCTGACCCCACCTGACTAAAGGGATATTCCATACCATGTGACATCATGCTCAGCATATAAAGCTGGGGGAAGAAGAAGGAAGGGGGAGACATTCGAGTTATGGCGTTTGTGTTCCCAAGTAACCGTTACGCATGATGGAGCCCTGCTTTCCTGGAGAGGGCTGAACACCTGCCTGCCGATGGGAAGGAGTGAATGAATTCCTTGTTTTGCTTTGCCTGCATGCGCGGCTTTTGCTTTACCTATTAAACTGTTCTTATCTCAACCCACGAGTTTTCTCACTTTTACTCTTCCAATTCTCTCCCCCATCCCACCGTAGGGGAGAGTGAGCGAGCGGCTGTGTGGTGCTTAGTTGCCAGCTGGGGTTAGACCATGACAGCACGTCTTAAAAAGCACACAACTTCCACAATTCCTATTTTCAAATACATAAAGGACACATATTTTACAAATAAATTGCATAAGTTAAAAGTTTGTTTCTATATTTTGCTCCCACAAATTATTTTTATTCAACATGAGAAGTCAGAGTTGTTCTGAAAAACCTGAGAATAAAGGATCACTCCATTTATTTTCATGCATAACTATAGGCCTGCATATTTTCTTTCTTTTCTTTAGAAAACTGATAACGAACTGACTGAAGCCTTTATCATAGATGTCAAGGAGCGGTTTTTATACCGTCAACAAAAGAAGCTCTGCTTCTGCTGTCAGTAGGTGTTCTTTCTGCTTTTGGCAAATATAAGTGGTATTCACCCCTATCACACATCCTTGAAGTGACAACTGCCACCTTCTTGACGTTCTTCATCAAGAAGTGACTCCTCAGCCC